AATTAGTTGCGCCAACTTTGTACTTTTGGAAATATTATTTAAATTTATAGGTTACACAAGATACATCTTGTATCCAATATATTTTGCACGGGTTTCCTGATAAGAAACGTATTCACCAATTATTTTAAGATTTAATGGTCTGTATAATATTTTTATCATTTTGACTTTTTTGTTTCGAAAAATATCAAGAATATTTGTAATATTGGACAATTATTCTACACAACGCTAACCAAAATTATTTTTTGTTATTGAAATATTTGTTCCGGCCATGGTGTTTTTTAGAAACATGAACGGTTGTTATTTTACAAAAAACATTGCCTTTTGCGTCATACTTATATAAATCTGTTTCTACATATTTTAAATAATATTTGTTAAAATATAATGTATATTATATCCATTAAAATTTTATTCGACGCATAATAGTTTCAAAATTAATTAATCGAATATTTGTTTTTTAGAAAAACTAAAAATTACAATTATTTAAAAAAAATAGTGTCTTCTTAATCAATGATCATTAAGAATTCTAAATTAAATATATTTTATTTATTTTTACTACTGATTTGTATACCAGCCTCCTACACAAAAAAAATACATATTAGGACCAACTAAAATATAGTTAACATAGGGTCACGATTATTTTCTTGTTTAAAGAACTAAAAAAAATAATTGGCCAAATTCAATGTTAAGAGAAACAACTTTTTATTTAGTTATTTCAACTACAAATATACTGTACCCCTAATCCCTAATAACCAAATATAAGTTGGACTAAGTTTTATTAAGTTAGTCCAACTGGAGATGTTATTAACCTTTCAATTAATCATAGTTTTAGTTTAACCAACTTTGTATTTCATGAAGAGTTACTTGTTTACTTAAATTTAAAGCTATCAAAAAGGGACATCTTGTGCTCATTATATTTTGTTATTTGAACGGGTTTCGTTAAAAAAAAACTGTTTTATCAATGATTTTTTTACTTGAGAATCTGTATAACAATATATTTAATATTTTGAATTATTTAGTTCAAATAATTTCTGAAATACTTGGAATATTGGACAATTATTTTATACAACGCTTACTCAAATTGTTTTTTCATATTGAAATATTTTTTTCGGCCATGGTGTTTTTTAGAAACATGAACGGTCTGTTATTTTACAAAAAAACATTGCCTTTTGCGTCATACTTTAATACATCTGTTTCTATATTATAGTTTAAATAAAATTTGTTAAATAATGTATATAATATCCATTTAAATGTTATTCGACAGATAATATTTTTCAAAGTATTTATTTGCAAATATTTTAAAAAACATTGGTCCTGCTTAAACTTTGTTATAACATAGGGAAACGATGAAATTCTTAATGGAAGAACTAAATTCGGCACTACAGTTTTCCTTTAATTTCCGGAAAACTGTGTTTTCGCTGATTGCGTACATTTTATCAAAAAAAAACCTCCATTTTGCTGATTTTCGGATGTATCCACGTTAGTATTTTTAGGTCGACGTTTCAAACTCATTGCAGAGTCCATCATCAGGCTGTTGTAGTCACGACTGTACCGCTGTCGTGGCTATACTGATTGCCCCACTCGTTCCCTACCGCTATTTATACGTCCCGTGTCCTTGAGGCCGTGTTTCTTGACCAATGAGGATCATAACACGTGTCATGATGAGTCATGTTGTCATTTAGGTACTTTTTTTTGGCATTCCCTACGTTTAGGCCTGCCTTTTCTACACCTACAGTTATCGTTAGTTTCTAAAAAGGCCACTTCTGTTTGGCTTCGATGAGTTGATTTAATTTGTTCTTTTCTTTTATTTAGTTGTATAATGGGTTTCCACGTGTTGCTAATTCTCCAGCCATCTTCTCTATTGAATTTGTTTGGACATTTTTCAATTTCGATTGCCTCTTTGTACGTTCTTTTCCCGAAATTGGGCTCTTTGTCAAGTATTTTTACTTTGTCAAACTGGATGGTATGTCCCGAATTAGCTGCATGATCTGCTACTGCAGATTTGTCTATTCTTTTATAGTCCACAATATCTCTTTCGTGTTCTTTTATCCGTATTTCGGTAGCGCTTCCCGTTTGGCCAATGTATGACTTGCCACATATGCACGGTAATTCATATACACCAGGTGTATGCATTTTCGAAAAAAAACCTAAAATCTTAAAAAAATGCATCAAATCATTAAAACAATTGCATGTATATCTATGCTGAATGATACTATTAATTTTTGTGCTCAAGTACCACTTTTGACTTTAAGTTTACAAAAATTCAATTTTTTTTTTTTTTTACTTAAGTTTTCTTTGGCCGAGTAAAATTGAAAATTGATATCAAATTCGTAATGACCGAACCCAAAAACATATTATTTGACCACTTTTGAAGCCTTTTACATAAAAATCAAGAAAAATGTTTTAGCTTCGATGCAACGCGCCGAACGTGTTGGTTTTACTCTGATGTGGGTTTTTTTTTATCTGTACACACTGTAACTTTTTTAATACTGGACCAATTACATTTTTAACCTTCCTTCCTTGTCTGATCGTAGGCACGCAGCTGACTTAGTAATCCCTAATTTTCTTCTGTCCGTTAAAATTGATTCCCCCACCCTCTTTTTACAAAATAACTTTAAAATCTCTGTACGTTCCACACGCCCTTCTTTCTGTTCCTTATCCAGCATTCTTCTACAAACTAATATCTAAACTCCTCTAAACACCGACGCCTTCACTTCTTCTCTATGATTTATCCCTGTTTTGTGTGAATAAGTAAAATGTTTCCAAATTTAAATAATATGAGTATTATAGTTCTAGTTATTGTTGGTTGTTATTTGCATGGGTTCTCTTATAAGAAAATTATTCATCAATGATTTTCAGACTTGAGGCTCTGTATAATAATATTTTAACATTTTGATTTATTTGTATCTAATAATATCAGGAATATTTTAAATATTGGACAATTATTTTAAACAAAGCCTACAAAAATTGTTTTTTGCTAGCGAAATATTATATCTGGCTCTGCTGTTTTTTAGAATCATGAACGTTGTGTTCATTTACAAATAACACTGCCTTTTGCGTCATACTTTAATACATCTGTTTCTATAGTTTGAATAACATTTGTTAAACAATGTACATTATATAAATTTAAATTTTATTCCACACATAACGGTTTCCAAAATAATTAATTGTAAACGTTTTTAAATGTATTTGTTATTCTTAAACTATGAGATATATTAGGAACAAGATAAATTTCTAGTTGGAAGAACTAAATAAATAATTGACCCAAGTCGCAACTAAATGTTAACGGAAAAACCTTGTTATTTAGTTATTTTAACTAAAAATTCATTTTACCCCTTAATCCTTGTAATAACCAAATTTTAGTTGGACCAAGTTTTTATTAAGTCAGTACAACAATAAATGTTTTATACCCTTAAATTGTATATATGGAAGATTTACTTATTGACTTCAAGTTATAGGTATCACAAAGTACATCTTGTGCCCATTATATTTTTTTATTTGCGCGGGTTTTATTTAAAAGAGACCTTGTTCATCAATGATTTTCTGACTTGATGCTCTGTATAATAATATTTTAACATTTTGATTTATTTGGTTCGAAAAATATCAGGAATATTTTAAATAACCTGCTCCCATACCACGCTTTCAAACTCTCCCTTAACGATGAATTTCCATGCGACTTCCCCCATCTGCTATGGTGTCCTGCTATTTCCCAACTTCGTATTCCTCTCATCGCCACCCTTTCCTCCTATAATATCAATTCGTTTGACATTTATCCCAATTCTTAACTCCTCAGTCATTCCCGTCATTAAATCTATTCTCCTGTTCATTGATGAGTCCGGCCTTGCCTTGTAATCGTTGTATGTAATTAATTTTAAGTTGCTTGCCATTGTTGTAAATGCCGTCTAGTTTGTATGTATTAATTTTAAGCTACATAACTTAATTTAACATCCGTAATAATTGTAGAAATAAGTAGTTTATGCTGATATTTCAATAAAAATAAAAAAATAAAATCCCACTTCTTTTTTATTTGGTATTGATAAATCGAAAACGGTTCTATTAGGATGACTTAACAATAGGCAAGCAGAAGATCATGTCTGGTCGCATGTGGAGTTGTATAAAATTATTGTCCAATATTCCAGAAATTTTTTTAACTTAATAAATCAAAATATTAAATATATTGTTATACAGAGCTTTAAGTCAGAAAATTATTGATGAAACGGTTTTTTTTAAAGAAACCCGATCAAATAACAAAATATATTGGGCACAGGATGTCCGTTTTGATAGCTATAAATTTAAGTAAATAAGTAACCCAACTTAATAAAAACTTGGTCCAAATAATATTTGGTTATTATAGGGATTTGAGGTACAGTATGTTTGTATTTGAAATAACTAAATAAATAGTTGTTCCTCTTAACACTGAGTTGGGCCAATTATTTATTTAGTCCTTCTAAAAAGAAATTAATCGTATCTCTATATTAACTATATATTAAGTTGGTCAAAATATGTATTTGTTCTGTGTAGGAGGCCGGTTTACAAATTAGTAGTAAGTTTTATTAAAGTAGGACGCAAAAGACAATGTTGTTTGTAAAATAACAGAAGGTTCATGTTTGCAAAAAAACACCTGAACCCTATACTTCAAATAGATCTAATATACATTCAATATATTTAAAATACAATATTAAAGCATTATTTTTCTAGCTACATTTAAATTTTATCGTAAGAACAGATGTTATTAGAATGGTTGGCTACAGTAAAATAAACAGGCAGGCATGCATTTACATCTTGTGTACTGAAACATAAGCCACATACCATAAATAATTATTCAAAATAAGCAAAATATATTTTTGCTTCGAAGCGGAGCAGCAATGCTATTGGTCTTACAGTGCTGTGGGCTTTTTTTGTGTCTGTGTACACTGTAACATTTTTGATACTAAGCCAATACCTTCGAGTAGGAACTATATAAATCATGTTTGTACACTTCTGAAACACAATGTTAACAGAACAGAACTGGTGTTATGTACTAACACTCGACATACAATACTCATTTAGTCAATACAACGTTTATGTTTGCGTACTTCTGAAATACAACGTTAACAGATGTTATGAGAATAGCTGATTACAGTAAAATAAACATAAAAACTGATATAAATACCTAAAACTAACAAATGTTCAGTGCTGTTTCTGATTTTTTCTGTCAAGTTGTTTTTTAGTGTTACAGGTATTTCACAATAGATAAACGAAAAAATGATGTGGAAAATTATATTTGTGTTGCCATGTTTTACCGTTTTAGTGAACGCTGTTGGAAATCATGAAGAGGGTTCTACATCAGTAAATATAATCGATCTTTTATTTCTTTTTTTTTTAGTAGATAGAAAGTATATTTCATGTTTTTCATAAATTCCCAAAATGTTTTGCATTCTTAGAATAAAAAAGTAATTTTATCATACTATACATTTTTTCTAAACAATTTTTAAGTGTAAGAACATTGCGGGTGTAAATCTACTTCATGGGATAACATTTTTTTTTAAATCGATAGTACTTTTCATACTTATTCAGTGCTGCAAAAATTTAGAATCGCGAATGATGTCGTCCCGCATTTCCCTGCCCATCGTGGAAGATTACTTTTCCTACCTTATTGAGTAGCTATACTCGTAACAATATTTATAGTCTTCCAAAATAATAACTCCACATAGCTTTTAGAATCAACAACGACGTTATATTGGGATTTCTTTGCGGGTAATTTAAGATTATAAAACTTCTTATAGACTAAATGCAAGGGATAATTTTGCAGAATAATTTTCTGAACTTTGTGACTGATCGGTAAACCAGTTTTTAATTAATTTTATAGTCGTTCTAGTAAGTACTAAAGTTTAAGGCGGCCAGTGGATTGCGGTAAAGTAGGTAATTCGTGCAGATAAGAACTGTATGCCTACATCGTAGGAAAAGTCTTAAGAGAAGTTTCAGGGCTAAAGGTCTAAAAATAGACTGAAGATAATTTTAAAATGGGGCTATAACATATTATGTAATTTTATCAGAAATTCATATACACACTATCCGTTTATTAAGAACAAACAATAATAGTGGAAAATTACACTTTAATTGAAATTATTCTCATAGTTCCTACAATCATAAGAAATATATCACAATAGATTGTAAAAATTCATATTGACCTCTGAATATAATTCGTACTTACGTGCACCAACCCAGCTCTAATGAAGAAGTACTTATCAAGTTATTTGCGTTAAGAGAACATGCAGACTGTAAAATAATTTTTATCCGTCCACCCTTAGTCAGTATTTGTTTTCAAATTAATTACCGTTTAATTTTTTTTTAGACCGAAGGCCCGACACAAAATCCAAATATTAGAGAATGGGTGAATTCATTAGTAGTAATAAACATTTCAGATTGGTCTACTTTGTCAACTGGACCAAGCAAAAATCAAAAAGTAATTTTTGTATAAAATACATTATTTAAAAACACGTTTAACCGTTTTTATTTTTAAAGGATTTGGCAAGGGACGCATTGAAAAATAGTGGATGTCCAACTGATATTGTGGAAGTTCTTCTTTTAAACAGTTATATATTTAATTGGCCTGATCATTTTAAAGAAAAAAATCCAAATAGATATACAACGACTTTTCATTTAAAACTCTTGACTTGTAGACGTATTCCAGGAGCACCAGTAGTATACGTGTCTCATATTGATAACATATGGGTGCCTAAGCCAGGACTTTTATTCGTTTTCGATAAACTTGAATGAATCGTAGATTCTGATTAAAATCTGGCTGGCAGGATTTAATTTCACCATTAAAAAAACCATAAATTTAAAAAAAATTATACTCATAATGAAAACAAAATCTAAATGTGTTAAAGAATAGTAAAATTTTAGTTAAATTATAAATGATTTTGTAAACCTAATTTGTTTACACACCTATCACATAAAACATACTACGATTATCTAAAAATTGTATTTGTTTTTACTAACGGAATTAAATAAAATGAATGTACTATATTGATCTAGACATTGATTTAATAAAGCTATACAATTTCTTCCTCTATTTTATTTTATACTCTTCAGTATTTAGAATGTTCTAAAAAACTTGTTTTTTATTGATTAACTTATTGACATGTGTTAGAAATGTCTGAGATAAGTAATGACAGATTTTTTTTGATAAATACAAATAATAAAAAAAATATAGGTAATATATTCATAGAAATTGTATTTAAATGAATGAATAAATACATATTTATATCATTTATATTGTTTTTGACATTTTTATATCATTGCTTTGGCACACACACGGTTATCATAACGAAAAAACCGACACCGATACCGGTTATCAAAACGAAAAATCAGATCTGATTTATCTGATATGATAGGAGGGATAAGAGATTAGAGATGAGGGATGAGGGATGTGGGTGGGAATGGGGTTGAGGTAAGAGTGGGGTGATAATAAGGATGTGGTGGGAATGGGGATGAGGATGAGGTCGAGGTCGGTTATGTTAATCATAGTCTTAGTTGGACCAACTTTGTATTTTAGAAAGAGTGACTTATTTATTTAAATTTAAAGCTATCAAAAAGTACACCTTGTGCCCAATGTATTTTTCTTTTTGATCGGATTTCTTTAAAAGAAACCTTTCCATCAATGATTTTCTGACTTGACGCTCTGTATATTAATACATATAATGTTTTGATATTTTTTATTTCAATAAATATCTGGAATATTTTGAATATTGGACAATTATTTTATACAACGCTAACCTAAATTGCCTGCCATAAATTTTCGTACTTGCTCCAACGCACTTGCAATTGCTGAATATCTTGAACATTGTCAAAGCTATCAAAATATTTTTGCAAATCGGTAGTCATACCTTTATATATACCACGTCGGGCGACTAATTTTGCCAATTTTTGTTTTACTTCATCTGCCTTCTTGACTCTTCGGTGGTTTACTTATAAGGACATTTTGGACACAAAGAATTGATTTTGAGAATTAATATTTACACTACAATGGATCGTGTATTTGTTTGCTTCAGCTTATTACCTACTTACTGAATAACATGCTATTAACTTATTAATTGATAATAATATTACCGGGTGAATGCTTTCGTTGCAACTGATTTAATCCACGTGACTACACCGAGATCCGTAATTATGATTTAGTACAATAAAAAAACATGTGACCTCGCGTGTATGCGATGCACCTACTTACAATCAACCATGTTGCTGAATTGATTTGACGAACTGCCACTTAAAGTTGCGCCGTGAAATGAACGAACGATCACTTCGTGCAGTGCTGTACGCTTGGTTGCCTCTTCTACGCCGTGATGACTTTCGTCAAGAACTAAATTATTAATTGGCCCAACTCAATGTTAAGAGGAACAACTTTTTATTTAATTATTTCAAATACAAATATACTGTACACCTAATCCCCAAAAAACCAAATATTAGTTGGACCAAGTTTTTATTAAGTCGGTCCCCAGATACTGATAAAAATTAACACGGGAGTGGTACTTATCACACACAAACGAGGCGGCAATCTTCTTAAGGTGGTGTACACTATAATTTTATATCTGTACACTATTATTTTTAGTTGTGTATAGATATTATACATATTATAACACGTAATACTAAATAGGTGTTCATTACAAAATGGTCATAATTTTTTTGTTTACACTGAAAGTGACCCTTCTGCTTTTTTTTATTTTGTGATATTATTACGGCCATTATTATATTTTATCACTGTAAGTTCATTTCACGACATGCTGGCCACGATTGTAGATAATCTGGTTGCGTATCAAGCTGTGAAAAAGTGGCTACAAGAGTTCTTTCTAAAAAGTCAGTGACTGATAGCGCTCCTCGTGGGAAAACCGTGGAACTTATTATTTTTCTCTGATGATCCATGTTATATCAGCCGCGTAAATGATAACAATCGGGTTATCAGTGCTGATAAATCGGTTGTTATCATAAACGAGTGTGAATATAACACGGATCGTCAGTAAGAAATAATAAGTTCCACGGGTTTTCCACAAGGAGCGCCTGCAGTCACTGACTTTTTAAAAGGAACTCTTGTAGCCGCAGATAGAACATTTCGAGGTATAGGCCGATACGCAACCGTTAACTGGATCCGACAATACGATGGGAGTCAAATAATATGCAGCCAGACATAGAAGTTCCAAATATATAGGCAGTGTATCTCTTATTTAACCGAAAAATATGGCATTGATAATTGGGAAGTTTTCGGCCTATGATTTGGGGCACGCGGATCAGCTTCTAATTTCTTAAAAAATGCCTTCAAAGGTCAAGGTCTATTGATTTCTGATCTAGTGAATCTATGTTTCTCAGTTTTGAAAGATACGCTGTATACTTAAATCCGTTTTTTTTTTATTATTGTTTAATTACCTATCATAATTTAAATATGTTTTCTTTTGTTTAACTTTAAAACATCAATTTTTGTTTTTCAATTGTTTTATTACTATTATGTCTTAAAAACCTAAGTCGTTTGATTGGTTCTCATGCTGATTTATTTATATTGACTTAAAATGTAAAATTTGGTAGGTATACCTTAAGAGTTATAACACAAAAACATGACGTATTAATGGATTTTATTAAAACGTTTAAACTGTTTACAATTTTTATATGGCATAATAATAATATTTTATCTGTTTTCCAGTTTTACTTATTTTCCTGGTGACTGGATGAACTTCCATCTCTTTTGATAGGAAGAGTAAAAGAAATTTTTTTTCTTTGTTTTTTTAATTCAAAACCAATATTTTCCGTGTGTGTTTGAATGAAATGAATGATAGAATTCAGTTTTTCCACATACAACTTATACAATTTTGGAGTTTTGTTTAAATCTGGAAGTTCGTCTTTACTCTGTAACTGTTCTTGATCGATGACAGAGTATGATGGCTGACAGCTATTATTCCATTCTTTTACTAAGGATTTAGCTAGAGTTTCGATATCTTTCGATAAACTGCCGGGCGCCGTTGCTGTGAGATCGGGTCTTTGTCGCATAAGCAATTCATAAATCTGCGGCAGAATTTCGTAATATTCGTTTGGGACGATAGCCCTGTTGTCTAATAAATTAATATGTTCATTCAAGGCCCACAATATATATGTAATCTTTGCACCTTTTTTGAGACTTACGTGAAGTTTTTTCCAACATTCTGCAGCGTCTCTGTCACCGTTGCTTAACAATTGGCCGCACTGGTTTACTGTATAGGTCGATATCCAGAGAAAGTCAATCAGTTCTTTGCCGTAACCGCACTCCATTAGTAAAGAGATTGTTTTCCACTTGGCGACCAACGAAAGTCCACCCATAGTCCATAATTTTTTTACCTTCACAGGTTTGTCATTGATGGGCGATCCTATTATTCTCTCGAACCACGTCATCTGATCCCAGTGTTTCGCTTGCCAAATATGGTCGATTTCTACCATCTTGGGATCGCTTGTACATTTCTGTATGCAAATGACCACCAATGCAAATAAAATCGTCACAATAGAACTTTTCTCCATAATGAATCGTTTTGATCATTAAGATTTTAACATGAAAACCCGAATGTATCTATTTAATCTACAGCTAAACTGAAATGTCTAAATTGTTTAGATATCTGTTTTGTATTAGAAACAAATACCCCTCGCAAAAACCAACCGACACGAATTCAATATGTACTAAGGTATATTATATTGAATATCAAGAAATAATTTGTCCACCAAACTGAGTTTTCTGTATTTTAACACCTGCGTACATGTCTTTACTGTTAACCTAGTTCGTTGTGTTTATTTACCGGAATATTATAGTTTTTTTAGCGAACAATTTATTTCTTGCATATTTTATTTGGAATAAAAATTTTATTTAAATATTTAAAATTTAATTTTCGCTAAGTTTTAATTTTATTGATTACATAAATAATGTACAAGGTGATTCTTTTGACGCCCTACACTGGTTTACTCAAAAACTACTTAGATTTTTACAAAAAAAAAATGTTTAATAATTTGTTTGTGTATGAAATACTAACTTTTTATAAAAAAAAATGTTTGTTGTATCTCCCCCTTTTCAACGAAAACTCGACGCCAACTTTTGATTTTCAAATGGTAACCTCTACTTTTTTTTAAATAAATGTAATCAAAATTGTAGGTAAAGAATAACGTAAGAAAAAAATACATAGTTGGGCCAACTTAAACTATTGGGTAATGTAGGAACTCGGTAAATTTCTAGTTGGAGGGACTGAATAAATGATTTGCCCAACTTTTTATTAAATTATTTTATGTACAATTTTACTGTACCCCTCATCCCTATAATAATTATGTTTTAGTTGGACCGAGTTATTATTAGGTCAGTCCAACTAAAAATGTTTTGTACTCTTATATTAACCATAGTTTTACACTTTTAGTAGGGCCAAGTTTGTATTCTTGAAAGAGTTACTTAAATACTGAAATGTATAGGTAATACAAGGTACAACTTTTTATTTGAACTGGTTTCTTTATAAGAAATCATAGTTTTAGTTGGACCAACTTTGTATTTTAGGAAGAGTTACTTAATTACTTAAATTCATAGGTAGCACAAGGTACTTATTTTGCCCAATTTATTTTGTTATTTGAACGGGTTTATTTATGTACAATTAAGAAACTTATTCACCAATGATTTTTGGACTTGAAGCTCTGTATAATATTATATTTAACATTTTGACTTATTTGGATCTAATAATATCAGAAATATTTGAAATATTGGACAATTATTTTATACAACGCTAACCAAAACGGTTTTTTGCTTGAGAAATATTTTATCCGGCTCTAGTGTTTTTAAGAAACATGAACGGTTTGTTGATTTATAAATAACATTGCCTTTTGCGTCATACATAAATAAATTTATTTCTATATAGTTTGAATAACATTTGTTAAATAATGTATATTATTTCCATTTAAATGTTACCGACACATATTTTCCAAATTTGTGAATTGTAAATGTTTCAAAAAGGAAAAATTATAATTACAATTATTTTAAAAAAAAATAGTGTTTTCTTCTTATTGAATCATCTTTCTAAAACATAAAACATTTATTTCATATCTTTTTACTCTTGTATACCACCCTCCTACACAGGAAAAAATACATTGTTGTTCCAAATAAAACTATGGTAAAAATAGGGACACAATTTGAAGTTTTAAGTTTAGGGCAGGAGGAAAGATGGAGTTTATTATTAGTTTTATCTGTGCGCATTTCCCAACCGCACTTCCTCTCCCTTCATAACTTTAAAACTCTTATAACTTTATCAATAGTTATCCGAAATCAGATCTCGACCAGTCAAAATTTTTACTATATTATTCTCAATTTAACAAGTTAATTAAATATATGCGTTACCATTAAAGATTTAAGAGTTGCTATCAGAATACTAAGTTGGGAGGGGGGTAAAAACAAAAAGAATTGTGAAAAATTTAAATCACGCTGTATAAAAACAATATGAAAACCAAAATATACATCTTGTACCATTGTATTCATTCCAATTTTACATTTAACACTCGACATATAATACTCGTTTAGTCAATACATAGTTTATGTATGTATACTTCTGAAATACAATGTTAACAGATGTTATGAGAATAGCTGGTTACAGTAAAATATACACGAAAGCTGATATAAATACCTAAAACTAACAAATGTTCAGTGCTGTTTCTGATTTTTTCTGTCAAGTTGTTTTTTAGTGTTACAGGTATTTCACAATAGATAAACGAAAAAATGAATTGGAAAATTATATTATTGTTGCCATGTCTTACCGTTTTAGTGAACGCTAGTGGAAATAATTCATCTAGTAGCCAGGTAAATATAATCGAGTAATTTTAATTATTTTATTAGTAGGTACAAAATAAATTGTATGTTTGTTTTTATTTCACAAAATGTTTTGTGTTCAACGAATAAACAATATAAGTAATTTCATCATACTATACAAACTATCTCAACAATTTTAAAATGTAATAACATTTTATATGTAAAGCTACTTTATTGGATAACATTTTTTTTTTAAAGTCGATAGAACTTTTACTATCGATTTCGGGACTGCAAAAATGAATAATTGCCTGTACTACTGATAGTGAGTGTAATGACAATTTATATTATGTCGACCCGCATTCCACCGTCCATCGTATAGGTTTATTTTTGCTACCTAATTGAATAGTCTATACTCATACTAATATGTATAGTTTTCCAAAATGATAACTACATATAGCTTATTAAATCAATAATAACACTATTTTGATGTGTCTCTGTGGGTAATGCGACAATATTTGTAATGAATTCATGTCGACAAGAGAATAATTTTGCAGATTACTTTGCTGAGCGTTGTGAGTCATCGATAACCAGTTTTGGATAATTAATTTCAAAGTCATTCTAGTTTAAAAATTAAGACGGCCGCCGGTGAAGTGCGGTTAAGTAGGTGTTAAATGCAGATACTACACTCCTTACCTCCCGTCTTAAATTTTAAACTTGATGGCAACCTCCTATCACTACAAGACCCCAAACCCACTGTGGCCCGATTTTTTTTAAAATTATTTTACAAACTCAACACAGAAAAAAGAAAAAAATATTTGTGTTACATGGATTAAATTATCAAAAAACTAAAAATGCTACACCTACATCGTAGGTAAAGTTTTAGGAGAAACTTCAAAGCTTAACATCTAAAAAAATAGACTGAAGGTAATAAAAGAATTAAACTATATCATAAAATGCAATTTTCTGAAAAATTCGTATTCAAACTGTTAATTTATTAAGGAAAAACAATAAAAGTAGAAAATTACATTTCAATTGAAAATATTCTCATAGTTCCTATAATCATAATAATTATATCACTTTCAGTTGTAATTCAAACTGGCCTCTGACATCCTCTAAAAATAATCCATCCCCACATGCTCCAACGCCATTGTAATGAATAAGTACTTATCAAGTAATTGGCGTTAAGAGAACATGCAGACTGTAAAATAATTTACACCCTTAGTCAGTATTTGTTTCCAAATTAATTACCGTTTAATTTTTTTTTAGACCGAAGGCCCGACACCACATCCAAATATTGAAGATTGGATAAATTCATTAGTAGTAATAAACATTACAAATTGGTCTACTTTGTCACCTGGGCCAAGCAAATATCAAAAAGTAATTTTTGTATAAAATACATTATTCAAAAACACGTTTAACCGTTTTTATTTTTAAAGGATTTGACAAGGGACGCGTTGAAAAATAGTGGATGTCCAACTGATATTGTGGAAGACCTTCTTTTAAAAAGTTATCTATTTAACTGGCCTGATCATTTTAAAAAAAGAACTCCAAAAGGATTTAAAATGAATTTTAATATAAAACACTTGATTTATAGACGTATTCCAGGAGTACCAGTAGTATACGTGGCTCATATTGGTAACGAAGCGGTGCCTAAGCCAGGAATTTTATTAATTTTCGATAGACTTGAATAAATCGCGGATTCTGATTAGAATCGACCCGGCAGAATATAATTTCACGGCTCAAAAAAACAAGAAATTATAAATGATAAATATACTGATTTTGAAAAAATCTAAATGTTTTAAAGAATAATTAAATTTTAGTTGATTTATAAATGATTTTGTAAACCTAATTTGTTTACATAAGGCTACGCTTATCTAAAATGTTATTTGTTTTTACTAACTGAATTAAATTAAATCAATGTATTATATTGATCTAGATATTGATTTAATAGAGCAATAAAATTCCTTTCTTTATGTTATTTGATTTCCTTATTTTATACTCTTTAGTGTTTAGAATTGTAACGGACCACTCGGCTAGCTAGCTAGGCTAGATAAAGTGGCCGTCGATGAGGCTAAAATAGACGGATTCCCACAGGAAAACGGTTGGCTAGGCCGCTTCTACGTCTAAGTAGCCTAAAAGTCTCCCTTATTAATTTAATATATCACCCGGGGAGCTAGAACGAGCGGTCACACTGTTAAATAATCTAACTCTCAGCTGCAGGATACAAGATGTTTGAAATGGTGGTACAAAAATTGCTGAAAATAAACTAGGATTACTTAAAACTAAGTGGGGAAGAGAACACTTGTATTTTTGGCGGACTTCTCGTGACTTCAAAGACATCTATCCTTTGGTTTCTCGGTTCTGTTGAGAACCTGGAAGGACATCCCTCTCAGTCTAGAGCCACCCCATTGTCACATTCCAAAAACGAACGTTAAAAATTTTAATTAAGAGAGTAATAACAATCGGTCAATATATCAGGAATATTTGTAATATTAGCAAATCATTTTATACAACGTTCTGTTATTTTACAAATAACATTGCCTTTTGCGTCATAGGTACTTTAATAAATCTGATTCTATATAGTTTAAACAACATTTGGTAAATTATGTACATTATATCAATTTAAATGATATTCCACATAAAATGGTTTCCAAAACAATTAATTGTATAATAATGTTTTAACATTTTGATATATTTAGTTAAAAAAATATCTGGAATATTGGACAATTATTTTATACAAGGCTAACCCAGATGGTTTTTTGTTGTCGAAATATTTTTTCCGGCCATGGTGTTTTTTAGAAACATGAACGGTCTGTTTTTTTACAAATAACATTGCCTTTTGCGTCATACTTTAATAAAACTGTATCTACATAGTTTGAATAATATTTGTTAAGTAATGTATATTATATCTATTTAAATTGTATTTTTCTAATAGAAAAACTAAAAATTACAATTATAAAAAAAAATAGTGTCGTCTCCTTAATGAATGATCGTTAAGATTTCAAAATTAAATATATTTTTACTACTGATTTGTATACCGGAGGCTGGTATACAAAGTCTTTTCATCAATGATTTTCTGACCTGAGACTCTGTATCATGATAGTTTTAATACTTTAATTTATTTGGTTCAAAATATATCTGGAATATTTGGAGTATGGAAAATTATTTTATACAACGCTAACCCAGGTGGTTTTTTGTTTTCGAAATATTTTTTTAGGCTATGGTGTTTTTTAGAAACATGAACCGTCTGTTATTTTTCAAATAATATTGCCTTTTGCGTCATACTTTAATAAAACGGTTTCTACATAGTTTGAATAACATTTGTTCAATAATGTATATTATACCCATTTAAATTTTATTTGACGCCTAAGAGTTTCAAAATTAATTGATCAACAATTTTTCTTCCAGAAAAACTAAAAATTACAATTATTTTTAAACAAAGTAGTGTCTTCTCCTTATTAAATGATCGTTAAGGTTTCAACATTAAATGTATATTTTTACTACTGATTTGTATACCAGCCTCCTACACAGAAAAAATACATATTTAGACCAACTTATTATCTAGTTAACATAGGGAAACGATTATATTCTTGTTGAAAAAACTAAATAAATAATTGGCCCAACTCAATGTTAAGAGGAACAACTTTTTATTTAGTTATTTCAAATACAAATATACTGTACTCTTAATCCCTATAACATCCAAATATTAGTTGGACCAAGTTTTTATTAAGTTGGTCCAACTGAAAATGTTTTGTACCCTTAAATCAATCACAGTTTTAGATGGACCAACATTGTATTTTAGGAATAGTTACTTATTTACTTAAATTTATAGCTATCAAAAGGGACGTCTTGTGCCCAATATGTTTTGATAATTGATCGGGTTTCATTAAAATAAGTCTTTTCATCAATGATTTTCTGACCTGAGACTCTGTATCATGATAGTTTTAATACTTTAATTTATTTGGTTCAAAATATATCTGGAATATTTGGAGTATGGAAAATTATTTTATACAACGCTAACCCAGGTGGTTTTTTGTTTTCGAAATATTTTTTTAGGTTATGGTGTTTTTCAGAAACATGAACCGTCTGTTATTTTTCAAATAATATTGCCTTTTGCGTCATATTTTAATAAAACGGTTTCTACATAGTTTGAATAATATTTCTTAAATAATGTATATTATATCTATTTAAATTTTATTCGACGCCTAATAGTTTTAAAATTAATTATTTGTAAATATTTTTAAAAACATTTGTCTTACTTAAACTATGGGACAATATAGGGAAACGATAAAATTCTAAATGAAAGAACTAAATAAATAATTGGCCCAACTCTATGTAAAGAGGAACCACTTTGTATTTAGTAATTACAAATATACTCTACCCGTAATCCCCAAAATAACCAAATATTAGTTGAATCAAGTTTGTATTTTAAAAAGAGGTACTTGTTTACTTAAATTTATAGCTATCAAAAAGGACATCTTGTGCCCAATATGTTTTGTTATTTGATCGGGTTTTATTTAAAAGAAACCTTTTCATCAATGATTTTCTGACTTGAGACTCTGTATAATAATATATTTAATTTTTTTTTTTTTTTGTTCGAAAAATATCAGGAATCTTTGAAATATTGGACATTTATTTTATAAAATGCTCGATTAATTTCGAGCTGGAAGAATTAAATAAATAATTGACCCTACTAAATGTTAACAGGAACGACATTTATTTAGTTATTTTAACTAGAATTGTATTGTTTTGTTATTCTCGCTATATAATTAGTTGCGCCAACTTTGTACTTTTTGAAATATTACTTAAATTTATAGGTTACACAAGGTACAGCTTGTGTCCAATATATTTTATTATTTGCACGGGTTTCCTGATAAGAAACGTATTCATCAATTATTTTAAGATTTAATGCTCTGTATCATATTTTTAGCATTTTGACTTTTTTGTTTCGAAAAATATCAAGAATATTTGTAATATTGGATAATTATATTACACAACGCTAACCAAAATTATTTTTTGTTATTGAAATATTTTTTCCGGCCATGGTGTTTTTTAGAAAAATGAACGGTCTGTTATTTTACAAATAACATTGCCTGCTGCGTCATACTTTAATAAATCTGTTTCTATATTATAGTATAAATAACATTTGGTAAATAATGTATATAATATCAATTTAAATGCTATTCGACACATAGTATTTTCTTAATTTGTTAATTGTAAATGAATTTTAAAACATTGGTCCTACTTCAAATATGGGATAATATAGGGACACGATAAAAATCTAGATGGAAGAACTAAATAAATAGTTGGCCCGAAATGTTAATAGGAACAATATTTATTTAGTTATTTGAACTAGAAATGTATTGTAATCTTATAATTATCAGATAATTTGATGGAACAACTTTGTAGTTCTAGAAAAGTTACTTAATTACTTAAGTTTATATTTATAGTTATATGGACATAAGGTATATTATATCCAGTTAAATTTTTTTCGACATAATAGGTTTCAAATTGATTAATTATAAATGTTTATCTAAATGCTACGTAAATAAAAAATACATTATTGTTCTAATACAATACATTTCTAGTTGGAATAACTAAATAAATAATTGGCCCAACTAAAAGTTTACTGCAAATAAATTGTATTAAATATTTCAACTAGATATTTATTTTACCCCTATAATAACTATAAATTTAGTAAAACCAAATTTTTATTAAGTCAGTCTAACTAGAAATATAATGTGCCCTTATATTAACCTTAGTTTTAGTTGGACCATCTTGGTATTTTTGGAAGATTAACTTAATTACTTATATGTATAGGTAACAGTCTGTTATTTTACAAATAACATTGCCTTTTGCGTCATACTTTAATAAAACTGTATCTACATAGTTTTTATAATATTTGTTAAATTATGTACATAAACGGTTTTAAAAGTATTTGTTATTCTTAATCTATGGGATAATTTAGGGACACGATAAATTTCTAGTTGGAAGAACTAAATAAATAATTGGTCCAAGTTTCAACTAAATGTTAATTGGAAAAACTTATTATTTATTTATTTTAACTAAAAATTAATTTTAATCTTTGTAAAAACCAAATTTTAGTAAGACTAAATTTTCATTAAGTCAGTACAACAAGAAATAATTTATAGCCTTATATTGACTATAGTCTTAGTTGGACCAATTTTGTTTATATGGAAGATTTATTTATTTACTTAAATTTATAGTTTTTTAAAGAAACCTTTTCATCGATGATTTTCCGACTTCAGGCTGTGTATAATAATATATTGGTTCAAAAAGTATTAGAAATATAGGAAATTTATTTTATACAAAACTGTTTTTTGCTAGCAAAATATTTATTCCGGCTCTAGTGTTTTTTAGAAACATGAACAGCCTATTATTTTACAAATAACATTGCCTTTTTAGTCGGACTATGTTTTTATTAAGTCAGTCCAACTACAAATTTAATGTAATCTAATGTAAACGTTAGCGTTTAAGTTAATTCTATTTTAACTGTAAAAAAATTGTATGGATATGTTATGATATATTTTATGATTTTTTTATCATAAGCCACTCAATATATCATAGGGCTTAATTAGAAACACATTTTTTTTTTATAATGTTTTTATACAATGTGATCTCAACTTTTCACAATTTATTTGGTTTTACCCACCTCCCAACTCCTAACTATTGTTGAAGTTTTTGAAATTTCAAGTTAAGGGCAGGGGGAAAGGTGAAGTGTGATTATTTTTATCTGCGCGCATCTCCCAACCGCACTTCCCTTCCCATACTAACTTTAAAACTCAATATAAAACTCCCAAACTAAGTTGGGAAGGGGGTAAAAGCAAAAAAAATGAAAAATTGAGATTACATTGTACAAATACAATATAAAAAAACAAATTTAAATTTCTTACTGAACCCTACGAGATATTGAGTGGCTCATGATGAAGAAATCACCTTGTATAAAAAACATTACATTTTTAACATGATTAGAACAGTAATAGGGAACCTAATAAGATTTACATTGATAAGTGGTCTGTGAGGCGGCTCCTTTCTTACCAGCTTCATTTATAGTCCTGAAGCTACTTTGTGTACTTAAATTAATATACATCAATTACCGACATAAAATACGTATGTGTTCATTACACTTTTATAAGAAATCACTTTAATTCGTTCATTTTAATTTTAATCATATACATCCAATACCATTGTATACATTCCAATTTGACTTGTAACACTCGACATATAATACCCGTTTAGTCAAAACATAGATTATGTTTGTATACTTGTGAAATACAATGTTAACAGATGTTATTACAATGGCTGGCTACAGTAAAATATACACAAAAGCTGTTATAAATACCTAAAACTAACAAATTTCCAGTGCTATTGCTGATTTTTATTTCCATAGTTGTTTCTAAGTATTACAGGTATTTCACAGTAGATAAACGAAAAAATGATTTGGAAAATTATATTTTTGTTGCCGTGTTTTAACGTTTTAGTGAACGCTGGTCAACCTTCACCATTTTTTGTAGAACCTCCAAGGCAGGTAAATATAATCGACTAATGTCTTTTAATTATTTTCTTTAGTTGATACAAAATAAATAATATGTTTATTATTATTCCGTAAAATATTTATGTTTTTCTTAACTCCACAAAATGTTTTGCGTTCTTTAAATAAGAAATTTAAGTAAATGTATCATACTATACATATTATCTTAACAATTTTTAAATGTAATAACATTTTAGGCGTAAATCTACTTTGTTGGATACCATTTTTTTTTTAAATCGATAGAACAAAATGATAACTCCACATAGCAAAATTTATGAATCTCTTGTATTTACAAGAGATTCATTTTGCAGAATAATTTGCTGAACGTTGTGACTCATCGATAACCATTTTTAGATAATTAATTTTAAACTAGACTTAGGTGCGGCTAAGTAGGTATTTAATGCAGATAAAAACGATACTGCAATCCCCACCTCCCGTCTTAAATTTTAAACTTGGTTGCAACCTCCCTGTCCCCACTGTGCCCCGATTTTTTTAAAACTTATTTTACAAACTCAACATAGAAAAAAGAAAAAAATATTTGTGTTACATGGATTAAATTATCAAAAAACTAAAAACGCTACACCTACATCGTAGGTAAAGTTTTAGGAGAAGTTTCAGGAATTAAGATGTGAAAAATAGACTGGAGATAATTTTACAATAGGGGCTATAACATATCATGCAAAGTTCTCAAAATTTCGTATTCAAACTATTAATTTATTAAGGAAAAACAATAAACATAGAAAATTGCACTATAATTTGAAATTATTCTCATATTTCTTAAAGTTTTAAGTTATTATATCACTTTTAGTTGTAATAATTCTTTTTCATCTCTGACCCAACCCCACTGTTCTGGCTTCTCTTTTGTTACATACGAATGAGTATAGCCATATGAAAAATAATGCAATTGTTTTTTTTTTGGTTTTAAGTACATAACACAAAAAAGTAAGTAAAAAATTGATACTTTTTTTTTTTTTATTAGAAAAAAAGTTCTGTACAAAATACATTTACAGTAAGGTTTTTTTTACATTTTATAGCACATAGCATTAATAACGTTAAAGGAAATTACCCAATGGTAACACCTCATTAGTCTTATTATAGAAATCAATACCTACATTTTAAATTAACGCTGAATCACATTTTAAAGATATGACTACATATATTATTTAAAAATTGATACATACTTAACTTTACTAAATGTTTAATTGCAAAACTATTCGCAATTATTGTTATAATAAATAATTTCTGTTATTATTAAGTACTAATCAAGTTATAAGCGTCAAGAGATCATGCAGACTGTAAAATATTTTTTATCCGTCCACATTTAGTCAGTATTTGTTTTTCAAATTAATTATTGTTTTATCTGTTTTTAGACCGCAGAACCGGTACCATTTCGAACATTACATGAATGGGAAGTAACCTTAGAATTAACGACCATTACAGATTGGACTACTTTGACACATGAACCTAATCGTAGTCAAATTGTAATTTTTTTTATAAAATGCATCATTGAAAATCATGTCTGACTGTTTTTATTTTATAAGGAAGTCGCAGTAAATGCATTGAAATGGAGTAAATGTCCAATTAATATTTTGGATAGGCTTGTTTGAAACAGTGGTATACGTCAATGGCCTGCTAATTTAAAAAATACAACTGGAACTGGCCTTAACATAGCTAATATAAATAACTTGAGATGCAGACGTATTCCAGGAGCACCAGTAGTATACGTGGGCAATTTTGAAAACCATTTGGTGCCTGAGCCAGGAATTTTATTTATTTTGGAAATCATTGAATGAATCGTGGATTCTGATTAAAATCGACCCAGCAGATTTTAATTTCACCATTCAAAAAACCATAAATTTTAAAAATATATATACTGATAGTGAAAAAATCTAAATATTTTAAACAATAATTACATATTAGTTGATTTGTAAATGATTTTGTAAACCTAATTTGCTTACATACCTATTACATAAAGCATACTACGCTTATCTGAAACTTTTAATTGTCTTTGCTGACCAAATTAAATAAAATTAATTTATTAAATTGATCTAGACATTGATTTAATAAAGCTATAAAATGTCTTCTTCTATTTTATTTTATTTTATTTTATTCCTCTATTTTGTACTCTCCAGTATTTAGAATGTTCTAAATTACTTGTTTTTTATAATGTTGTGATTTATTTGCTCTCATCGTTGTGATCTCAAAAAGTATACGTCAAAAAAAATATTTATTTACATAAACACTATACTAATTGGTAAAAAGTCGTTTAATTATTGAAATGTGCTAGAAGTCTGTGATAGGTAAACAACTTTTTATTTAATTATTTCAACTACAAATACATTGTACCCCTAAATCTTGTAATAACTAAAGTTTAGTTAGACCAAGTTTTTATTAAGTCAGTACGACTAAAAGTGTTTTAGTTGGACCAACTTTGTATTTTTGAAAGAGTTAGTTATTTACTTATATTTATAGGTAACACAAGGTACATCTTGTGTCAAATATATTTTGATAATTGAACGGGTTTCTTTATAAGAAACTTATTCATCAATTATTTTCAGATTTAAAGCTATGTAAAATAATATATTTAATTTATTTGGTTCGAAAAATACCAGGAATATCTGGAATATTGAACAATTATTTTATACAACGCTAACCCAGATGGTTTTTTGTTATCGAAATATTTATTCCGGCTCTATTGTTTTTAAAAAACATGAGCAGCCTGTTATTTTACAAATAACATTGCGTTTTGCGTCATACTTTAATAAAACTATTTCTATATAGTTTGAATAACATTTGTTAAATAATGTACACGGTGTTTCTTTTAACGCCTTACACTAGTTTACTCAAAAACTAGTTAGATTTGTACAACAAAAAAATGTTTAATAATTTGTTTGTGTATAAAATATTAACTTATTATAAAAAAAAAATGTTTGTATCTTCGCCATTTCATCGAAAACTTATTTTTATTTTTTTTTTTGTTATTTATTTATTTATTTATTACTGTTTAGTTGCCTATCATAATTAAATATGTTTTCTTTTGCTTAACTTTAAACCATCAATTTTTGTTTTTTTTATTGTTTTATTACTATTATGTACTTATTTTTTTCTTGTCTTAAAAACGTATGTCATTTGATTGGTTCTTGTGCTGATTTTTTTCTATAGACTTATAATGTAAAATGTGGTAGGTATACCTTAAGAGTTATAACACAAAAACATCACGTTCTAATGGATTTTATTATCATTTTTAAACTGGTTACAATTTTTTATATGGCAAGAAAAAATATTATTTTATCTGTTTTCCAGTTTTACTTATTTTCCTGGCGACTGGATGAACTTCCATCACTGTTGGTAGGAGGAGTAAAAGAAATTTTTTTTCTTTGTTTTTTTAATTCAAAACCAATATTTTCCGTGTGTGTTTGAATGAAATGAATGATAGAATTCAGTTTTTCCACATACAACTTATAAAGTTTTGGAGTTTCGGTTGAATTGGAACGTTCACTCTGTAACTCTTCTTGACTGATGACAGAGTAGGATGGCTGACAGCTATTACTCCAGTTGCCTGCTAAGGATACAGCTAAAGTTTCGATATCTTTCAATAAACTGCCGGGCGCCGTTGCTATGAGATCGGGTGTCGGTTGCAAAAGCAGTGCATGAATCTGCGGCAGAATATCGTAATATTTGTTTTGGACGATAAACCTGTTGTCTAATGAATTAATATGTTCATTCATAGACAACAATATATATGTAATCTTTGCACCTTTTTTGAGACTTATATGAAGTTTTTTCCAACAATCTGCAGCGTCTCCGTCACCGTTGCTTAACAATTCGCCGCACTGGTTTACTGTATAGGTCGATATCCAGAGAAAGTCAATCAGTTCTTTGCCGTAACCACACTCCATTAGTAAAGAGATTGTTTTCCACTTATAGTTCAACGAAATTGTACTTGTAGTCCATAATTGTTCCACCCTGACGACCGGTGCGATGGGTGATCCTATTATTCTGTTGAACCACGTCATCTGATTCCAGTGTTTCGCTTGCCAAATATGTTTGACTTGTTCCAACCTGAGATCGCTTGTACATTTTTGTATGCAAATGACCACCAATGCAAATAAAATCTTTGCAATAAACCTTTTCCCCATAATGAATCGTTTAGATCATTAAGATTTTAACACGAAAAGCCCAATGTGATCTACTCGGTCTATAGCAAAAACTAAAATGTCAAAATTTTTGGATATCTGTTGTGTGTTAAAAAACAAATACCCCTGGCAAAAACCAACCGATACGAATTCATTATATGTACCTAAAGTATGTTATATTAAATGTAAAGAAATAATTTATCCACCAAACTGAATTTTCTGTATTTTAACATCTGCGCACGTGTCTTCATTGTTAACCTAGTTTTTTTAGCGAACAATTTATTTCTTGCATATTTTATTTAAAATACAATTTTTATTTAAATATTTAAAATTTAATTTCCGCTAAGTTTTAATTTTATTGATTACCAGTCAAAAAATTATTTTACCAATTCTACCACTATTTGTCCATACTTTAAACAAATTAACTAGTGTTATATCAACAATTAATTTTGTTTTTAACATAATAATAGTTGGATACATTGAACACTATACTATAATGTGTAGTATCTTATTATTACCTATACTATACATTTACAATTAGTCTTCATTATATATCATGCACTTTTATATTACTTTTCATAATTTTGTGTACTCTTGTGACATTTATTTCTCAATATTAATAAACACAATATCACTGTAACATCTTGACTATTATGAATCTCCTCACCAAAGACATAATATATGCACATTTCTTTTTCATTAATCCATTTAACTGGTAGATAACTAACCACCAGATAACTTTATTCGTCAGATATTTTTTCTTTCCGTTTTTCTCTACTCATCTGCAGTTAGTTGTTTGAATGTTAAATTATATTAAATGGATCTTTTTGATTATGGTACAGAACTGTGTCGATTGTGATTGGACGATATCGCTGATTGTGTGTTGTCAACTAGAGTTGAGCCATACAACAAATAACAATTAAAAAACTATAAACCTGATCGGTGATTGTAGTTTGAAATTATACTATTTATGAATTGTGCTTTTAAAATGTCTAATAAAAAAAGTAGGTCTAGTAATTTTTCATTTCTTGAAAAAGAATTATTAATTAAAATAGGTCTAGAGCACAAGCATATATTAGAAAATAGAACGACTAATACTTAAATGCTGTTCCGCGGAATAACAAAAATAAAAATTGGATAAAAATTGCTGAACTCTTAAATGCAAAAACTAATGGCTGTGTAAGTATAAATTATATTTATATAATATTATAATTACACTATATTTGTATGTTCAAAATTGTGTGTAATTGAGATGTTAATTGTAATAAATATTAAATTAATGTTATAGTTGATCATGATTTGTGGTCTTCTCTTAACGCTACGAAATATTTAAGGACCAAAGAGAAACATCCAAAAATTGTGGTTAATAACAGTTGTAAATTAAAAAAACGCATTAAGTGTCATAAACCACCATTCAATAGGTGATCATCTCTTATCAGTACAAAATCTGTCTCGTCTTTCTGCTTTCATTTAACTATTTCTATTTACAGTTACTTACTAAATTTATATACAATTTTATTAATACTACGTGTTGTGCTTTTGTACGTGTTTGCGTACATTAATATTTTGCATTTCGTATGCAAATTGTTATTTCGGTTTGCTGCCTTTTGCAACTCACGTGAGTTTCATTTTCTATTATCACACAAATCAAAGTCCCCTTTGTTTATATTTTGCTCACACCTTTGACTCTAAAGAGACTTCAACGCTGGTCTATACTCAAATCGAATACTTTTGTTAAGGCACTTACCACACACAAGTCGAATATGTCACCGACGTTAACCCGTTCTTCTTACGCGGTCTCAGGTAAAAACCCATCTCAATCTCGTTGACTTGACGACATTGTAAAAGCAATTTCCTCGCCACAAAACTCACAGCAATAATAAATAGCTCAAAACAAGGAACTAGGCAATGACTTAAAGTTCTTCTTTAATAAAAAAAATATAGTTTAAAAAAACTAAAAAACACGCTTAAATAGTAAAATAAACTAAAAAGTAGAAAATAATTTTCAATATAGAAATCAATTAATAAAAAATAAATAGTATTATTGTGAAAAAAGTGTGGAGCGCTTTTCAAGAACTGATATATGTAGCACCCCACGCTTTTTTCACAATAATACTATTTATTTTTTATTAATTGATTTCTATATTGAAAATTATTTTCTACTTCTTAGTTTATTTTACTATTTAAGCGTGTTTTTTAGTTTTTTTAAACTATATTTATTTTCCACTTTTTTAGTTCGATGTGCTTTAAAGTCGTGTTTTTTAATTCTAGTACATACGTGTCTCTATTACTTGAAAACTTCAGGTAAACAACAACGAATACACGCATGTACGTTCGGTTGCCTATCTCTTTTAGTTACAGAGTTACATACAAACATACAAACAAACATACATACATACAAGTGAAGCTAATATAAGCGTGTTAAAAACCATGATGTTGCTTTTGATGTATTATCCACTTTTCGTGCTGTGAAAACTAATCAATCTGCTCTTCGTAATCATATCGAAATGTGTAAAATCTCTTTCGAAAAACCTCAATGTCGAGCGGTGTCACGTTCCAGTGTAACTGGATCGTCTTACTACAATAATTATTAGTACAATAGCTCTTTCGGTTTCTACCAGAACTGTCGTGGCTTCCGGACCAGGCCCCGAACACTGATAAAAATTAACATGGGAAAGATACTTATCACATAAACGCGACGGCCATAGTGTTAGAGCGTTGCAGTGTGACCATTTTCGTAAAACTAAAAGTAGAATATAATTTTTATACTAAAGTCAAAACAATAATTGATTTAATGACTAGAAAAATTGCTTTAGAAGG